AGAGGGAAGAAGATATTATGAGGTAGAAGAAGAAGATAAGAATCGGAACAAGATGATAAACGGAAGGAGAAGGACAAGGAAGAAAAGAGGATGAGTAGGGACAAAAACTTGGTGCACGGATGTCCGAGAATGGTCCTACGTGCCTGGTGGACGCCCAAGACCCCCTTCTCCCCCTCCCCTCTCCCCTTCCCCTCTTCTCCCCCATCCCCTCTTCTCCAATTCCTCCACCCCCTCCTTCCCCCCTTACCAACACACACACACACATCTGGTGTTTGTCCTGAGAGAGTATTCTTGGCGTCTCTCTCTCTCGTTTGGACGTGTCCCTATTTGTCCTGCTGTCTTGTGGAATCATCCAGAGAGCCGTTCACTTCGCCTTCTTTGTTTCTTCTTCTTCTACTTCTTCTTCTTCTTCTTCTTCTTCTTCTTCTTCGCCTGTTTCCTGCGCCCAATTCTCATCTCGTTCTCTCTGATATATCGCCAAGTCTTTACCCGGAGGTGGTGGTGGTGATCTGCATGTTGTTGCTGTTTTAGATTCAGCTACTCGGAACAGAAAGTTGCAAGTAGCACGGGCTACGGTGAGCCCGTAGTGGACTTACCTGGCACAGGAGCGGCAAGTAGCACGGGCTATGGTGAGCCCGTAGTGGACTTACCTGGCAGAGGAGCGGCAAGTAGCACGGGCTACGGTGAGCCCGTAGTGGACTTATCTGGCACAGGAGCGGCAAGTAGCACGGGCTACGGTGAGCCCGTAGTGGACTTACCCGGCACAGGAGCGGGGCTGTAACTGTGGGTGATCTGCAAGTTTTGCCTCATAATGTAACTCTTTCATAATGTGGGTTTTCCCTAACCTCCTCTCCTCCTCCTCCCTACCCCCTTCCTCTTCCTACCTCCCCGTCTCTCCCAACCCTCATCTCCAATCAACCCCACCCTACCACCCCCGCCCATCCTCCCCCATCCTTCTCTTACCTCCGACGCCCACAACCATCCCCCCAAAATCCAAACCCCTCCCCCCATCCCCACTAAGTACGGTCTCGAAACAAAGTTGAAATTTTCAAACATTTCCATGTGGCATATTTCCGTCCCTTCTCTTGTTTTTATAATCTTCTTCGTGACTCGCATCTGCTCCTTACCACTCCCTCCCTCCCTCCCCCCCCCCCTCCCGCCCCTCCTACATCCCCTTCCCATCCCCTCTATCCTCGCCCCTCCCCCCCAACCCACCACCTCTCCTGCCCTTGCACGGCTCCGTTACACCTTGCCTCGATTTCTGTGTCTTTGTACCTCAGTTACGAGAATCTTGAGAGAGACACCGAGTTTGTTGGGGAAAGAGGTGTAGAGGGTAAGTCACCTGTGTTGCTACACCCCACCATCATTGTCCCCAGTGTTGCTACACCCGCCATCATTGTCCACCAGTGTTGTTGACCTGCTCCTCTCTGAAGACCCGAGGGGGCAGGTATATAAATATTTTGAACAGCTTCCCATAATGTTGGACCTTCGACAAGCCGCCGGCTTCCTGTCCTCGTCGAGGTCACTAGGGTTAGCGGCCCTCTGGTGTGTTGCCATGTGACTGGCACCATTAGTCAGCCGGAAATGCCAACAATGTCACTCCTCTTAACTGCCAGTTGGAAATGTCTTCCTAACAGAATGGCCTTCAATAATGTCTAATCAGTGATGCCTGACTGAATATATAGTATGTATGTATGTATGTATGTATGTATGTATGTATGTATGTATGTATGTATGTATGTATGTATGTATGTATCTCTTCATTGTTAACTGTTCAGTAATTACTGAGACATAGAGGGACTATTCGCTGTTATCAGGGAGGAATACTTGTAACTGGTCAGTGACAGGTGGTATCTCTAATGTCTCGCATCAGTCTCTCACTGGGATGATCTTGATCAAGTGCAAGGGAAGGGTACTATTGATTCTGGGGGGAGGGGGCGCGGGGTTTAATGGGTGGGTTGGGGAGGGGGGGGAGGGGAGAAGAGGTTTAAGGAGTGTGGAAGGGGGGGGGGGAAGAGGAACAGGAGGCAGAGGGCAAAGGTCAGAGGTCACCCACCAGTCCTGCCTATTGGCACTACGGCAAGTTTTTACCCGATCGAGGCCCAGTGTGTCACGTCTTGCTCCAGGGTACTGTCTGTCCCTGTCCCGGGTACTGTCTAGTGTCCCTGTCCTGGGTACTGTCTGTCCCTGTCCCGGGTACTGTCTGTCCCTGTCCCGGGTACTGTCTGTCCCTGTCCCGGGTACTGTCTGTCCCTGTCCCGGGTACTGTCTGTCCCTGTCCCGGGTACTGTCTGTCCCTGTCCCGGGTACTGTCTGTCCCTGTCCCGGGTACTGTCTAGTGTCCCTGTCCTGGGTACTGTCTGTCCCTGTCCCGGGTACTGTCTGTCCCTGTCCCGGGTACTGTCTGTCCCTGTCCTGGGTACTGTCTGTCCCAGTCCCGGGTACTGTCTGTCCCTGTCCCGGGTACTGTTTGTGTCCCTGAGGACACAAGCAAGCAAGGGCAGTGGCTGGGGTAGTGAAGCAAAGACAGTGGCTGGTACAGTGAAGCAAGGACAGTGACTGGGGCAGTGAAGCAAGGACAGTGGCTGGTACAGTGAAGCAAGGACAGTGGCTGGTACAGTGAAGCAAGGACAGTGGCTGGGACAGTGAAACAAGGACAGTAAACAACTGAGACAAACAAATGCAAAATGCGCAATTAGCATGGGTGAAACAGGCAGAATAATGAATGAAAATACCAGTCAGTAAATGTCGAGTCAAAGTGTCAACAAACCACAAGACAGAGGTGACAATACCGGGCCAGTTTGGTCTTAGTGAACGGATGGGATACGGGACAGACGAAGAGGGTATTCATGCGGGAGTGAAGGGAGGAAGAGAGGCGGAAACCCGGCAAGGTGGGAAGACAAGGTGAGTGAGTGTGTGTGTGTGTGAGAGAGAGAGAGAGAGAGAGAGAGAGAGAGAGAGAGAGAGAGAGAGAGAGAGAGAGAGAGAGAGAGAGAGAGAGAGAGAGAGAGAGAGAGAGAGAGAGAGAGAGAGAGAGACAGAGAGAGAGACAGAGAGAGAGAGAGACAGAGAGAGACAGAGAGAGAGACAGAGACAGAGACAGAGACAGAGACAGAGACAGACAGAGACAGAGACAGAGACAGAGACAGAGAGAGAGAGAGAGAGACAGAGACAGAGACAGAGACAGAGACAGAGACAGAGACAGAGACAGAGAGAGAGAGAGAGAGAGAGAGAGAGAGAGAGAGAGAGAGAGAGAGAGAGAGAGCAGAGAGAGAGAGAGAGAGAGGACAAAAATGGTTGGCCATGTTTCCTATCACCTAATGCCTCTGTTCACCTAGCAGTACCTATTTACCCGGGAGTTAGTCAACTGTTATGGAGCAGCATCCGTGGGATGGCCGGTAGTTCCACCTTGGGAAGACCTTGATACAAGCCTAACGTATAATAATTCAATTATTAAAATGAATTAGATACAGTGCTACCGAATAATAATAAAAGCAACAGTCTCCCCTCGTGTTCCTCCAGCGCTCATCCATTTTCTATGATGACAAATTGCTCATTCGAAAACGCATTATTTAGCTTATTTACATTCCCGCGTCGTTGATCTTATCTGGAGGCTGGGCGTTGTTTCCGTCCTAATAGAGAGGTGTACATATAGAGCAGAGCCTGCCAGTGTCCAGACCACGCTCACACCACACCATGAGAGCCACAGTCTGTGTTCCTCTGGCCCAGTCTTATCTCCCACCACACTTGAAGCCCTCGCGGCCTGCTGGAGCATGCATTAGACCTCTCACAAACTGGTATTTCTTCCATTAATTAAACAACTCACACTCTTCCCCCCTCCCGAACGCATCTGTCTCTCTCTCTCTCGCGCCCACAGATGCCTTGCAAATACCAATATCATGAATGTTGAGCTGGGTTGAGTGGTGCGTTTATTGACACCCTCGGGGTGTAGGCTGATGGCGAGGGAGGACGCGGCCAGCGCTCTCTGCTTACTGACACACTCAAATTCTGGCTAATATACATCATGACCACAACCACAATCCCCGCTACCACTATCAGCACCTCCGCACCAACACGGCCACCACAATAACCCCCCCTCCCCGCGCCACCACAACCACCACCCCCGCCAACACTGCTACCGCCAGTGTCATCACCACCACCACCACTACTAACAAGTCATCACTGCACAGATGGTGATGGGTTGTAAGTGGTGGTTGATAGTGACGATAGAAGCACTCTCGGTGTCTGACACACACTTCTCAGCCGGACCATTAGTGCAGCACAGACAAGAATCTGGAGCTGTAGGAATTTCTTTACAGACATTTTGGCAGGTCAAAACGCTTTGGCACACGCTCGTGCCGGACACCGACAACACTTTGCTATCGAGATTCGAGAAGTACCGTTGCGTCCTTGTTACAGCAACACTTGCATGAGCATCTGTCACAAATGTTACAGCATTAATGGAAACACTCAGAGGTCAAGGCCGTCAAATTCGAATCAACTAGGGGTCAAATCGTGTAGAAATACTAGGGCATGACATTCCAGATAAAACTGCAAAACTTGCAACTAAGAGAAGGAATGCAGACATTTACATACCGTAGAGTCTAGCATAGATTTAGAAGATAATTAGAGATAGAACAATGAAGAAATTGTCATTGACCACAGCAACTGCAGCTTCAGGATCTGTGGACTGGTAACAGAATTCAGCTAATTATGAAACACCTATTTTGACGAAAGAGCACATTAGAAAAACAGAAGTACACTTACACCACATCAAGCTTGTACACACACACATGTGCACGGGAAATAGGTTTACAGGTTCCAAAACATGAAATATGAGCATTGTGGTGAAATGTCCGACAGACCACTGAAACACTACAGGTCCATTCCAAGGTTGTTAACGACTTTACCAGTGTCACTGTGATTTACAGGTGTATGAACCCTTGTAACTATACCTCTGTACCTTTGCACCCTTCTCACTGTACCCTGGTATCCCACAGGTGCTGTGGACGGCTCTCAGCCTGGCTCTGGGAGTGGAAGTTCAGGGGGAGATCATCAGAGGACTGCCTTGTATAAAGAGACTTAACCAGCTCTTCTGTCGCACACCAGGAAACGTCTACCCCAGGTAAGTGTGGTGGAGGGACGGGTGACAGATAGACAGGAGGGAGGGGGCGAGTGTGGCTGGTTAACGGGTGACAGACAGACAGGAGGGAGGGGGCGAGTGTGGCTGGTTAACGGGTGACAGACAGACAGGAGGGAGGGGGCGAGTGTGGCTGGTTAACGGGTGACAGACAGACAGGAGGGAGGGGGCGAGTGTGGCTGGTTAACGGGTGACAGACAGACAGGAGGGAGGGGGCGAGTGTGGCTGGTTAACGGGTGACAGACAGACAGGAGGGAGGGGGTGAGTGTGGCTGTTTAACGGGTGACAGACAGACAGGAGGGAGGGGATGAGTGTGGCTGGTTAACGGGTGACAGACAGACAGGAGGGAGGGGGTGAGTGTGGCTGTTTAACGGGTGACAGACAGACAGGAGGGAGGGGATGAGTGTGGCTGGCTAACGGGTGACAGACAGACAGGAGGGAGGAGGCAAGTGTTGTGGAGGGACGGGTGACAGAGAGACAGGAGGGAGGGGGCAAGTGTGGGTGGTTAACGGGTGACAGACAGACAGGAGGGAGGGGGCGAGTGTGGCTGGTTAACGGGTGACAGACAGACAGGAGGGAGGGGGCGAGTGTGGCTGGTTAACGGGTGACAGACAGACAGGAGGGAGGGGGCGAGTGTGGCTGTTTAACGGGTGACAGAGAGACAGGAGGGAGGGGGCAAGTGTGGGTGTTTAACGGGTGACAGAGAGACAGGAGGGAGGGGGCAAGTGTGGGTGGTTAACGGGTGACAGAGAGACAGGAGGGAGGGGGCAAGTGTGGGTGGTTAACGGGTGACAGACAGACAGGAGGGAGGGGGTGAGTGTGGCTGGTTAACGGGTGACAGACAGACAGGAGGGAGGGGATGAGTGTGGCTGGTTAACGGGTGACAGACAGACAGGAGGGAGGGGGCGAGTGTGGCTGTTTAACGGGTGACAGAGAGACAGGAGGGAGGGGGCAAGTGTGGGTGTTTAACGGGTGACAGAGAGACAGGAGGGAGGGGGCAAGTGTGGGTGGTTAACGGGTGACAGACAGACAGGAGGGAGGGGGTGAGTGTGGCTGGTTAACGGGTGACAGACAGACAGGAGGGAGGGGATGAGTGTGGCTGGCTAACGGGTGACAGACAGACAGGAGGGAGGAGGCAAGTGTTGTGGAGGGACGGGTGACAGAGAGACAGGAGGGAGGGGGCAAGTGTGGGTGAAGGAAATAAATGTATAAAAAATATATATTTAGTTGACCAGTAGATAATATATGTAACTAAACATGTAAGACATGTGATGAGGTGTTTACACTGCTCTTTATTTTCCAGAGACAGGATAGAGAAGTTCATAGAGGACAACAAGGCTCTGATGAGGAGAATGTATGGCAGCTTCCTGGAGAATGTGGAGACCCTACAGCAGGTAGTCTCTCCCACTGTTGATAGTACTACCATCACTGCTACTACTACTACTACTACTACTACTCCTACTACCACTACTATCATCACTACTACTACCACCACCACTACTACTACCATCACTACTCTATTGTGTTATCCAATTTTAATTCGTAACAATTCCAGTGTCTTCAGTGAACAAACTGTTCGTCATGTAGCCATTTTTTGTGTTCACTCTCTCTTCCCTTCCCCTCTGAGTGTGTTCACTCTCCCTTACCTTCCCCTCTGAGTGTGTTCACTCTCCCTTACCTTCCCCTCTGAGTGTGTTCACTCTCCCTTACCTTTCCCCTCTGAGTGTGTTCTCTTGCCTTAGCAATTTTATCTTAGTTTACTGAGGTTCTTATTTACTTCCGTGTTGTTAATGCTCTCCCTCCATCACCTCCCCCCCTCCCTTCCTCCCTCATTCTACCCCCTCCCTCCATCGCCCCTCCATTTCACCGTCCCCCCCTCCCCTGCTCCTTCTCCTGCTCATCATGTGGGGAACATTACAGAGAGCGCAGACAGGCGTGGAGTTCCGGCCGTTCAGTCGCACTGGGCGCTCGGTGGAGGCGTTTGGGGACGAGATCCCTGAGCTGGACCAGGACGTCCACCACGACTACCACTCTGACGACCCACGAGGACAGTCTTTCTTCAACCTCATCCGCAACAAGCGTCAGTCCTTCCCCAGCAACGCTAATGTCAACTCTGACAGGTGCGGTTGTGAGTGTGTGGTGTGTAGGGAGGTCTGGAGGGGTGTAGGGAGGTCTGGAGGGGTGTAGGGAGGTCTGGAGGGGTGTAGGGAGGTCTGGAGGGGTGTAGGGAGGTCTGGAGGGGTGTAGGGAGGTCTGGAGGGGTGTAGGGAGGTCTGGAGGGGTGTAGGGAGGTCTGGAGGGGTGTAGGGAGGTCTGGAGGGGTGTAGGGAGGTCTGGAGGGGTGTAGGGAGGTCTGGAGGGGTGTAGGGAGGTCTGGAGGGGTGTGGGGGGTGCTGGAGGGGTGTGGGAAGGGTTGGAGGGGTGTGGGGGGCTGGAGAGGTGTAGGGAGGTCTGGAGGGGTGTAGGGAGGTCTGGAGGGGTGTAGGGAGGTCTGGAGGGGTGTAGGGAGGTCTGGAGGGGTGTGGGGGGTGCTCGAGGGGTGTGGGAAGGGTTGGAGAGGGGTGTGGGGGGCTGGAGAGGTGTAGGGAGGTCTGGTGGTGTGTAGGGAGGTCTGGAGGGGTGTGGGGGTTGCTGGGGAGGGGTGTGGGGGGTGCTGGAGAAGGGTGTGGGGGCTGGAGAAAGTGTGAGGGGGGGGTTGGAGGGGGTTCTGGGGCTGAAGGGGGGAGTGGAAAACCCCTCAACCCAATGCTGGGTTTAAGTAGATGCAGACTTGATATGATTAGATAAATGTATATTAATTTCCTCCTCTTATACTGAACAAAACTTATATATTTTGTACCTCAGGTTAAGTGATAGTGTTGTAATAATATGTCTAACCAGCCGGCCTTAATAACCTCCTACCTCAGCAGCGTAGTCTGGGGTTGGGCTCAAGGCCTATCAACCTCTGGAGGGTTATTAAGACAGCTCACCCTCTTACAAGGAAAGTACTTACCTGTCAGCCCGTCCTCCAGAAATGGGAAGATAAATGTAACAGCCCCATAAGTGCAATTATGTACTATGTATGACAGTCAGGAATTGTACGTATTTACACTTAGTATTAAATCGTACTCTCAAATATATTGTGAATATTTGAGTTTACCTGAAAAGCTGAATAGAAAACCGCGTCCTAACCTATCCATCTTAGTTTTTGAAGATAAGAATTTTATTGCTTATTAAAATTAATTACAATTACTACTTAACCTATAGTTATATTAATATTACAGTTTTATAAAACAAAACTAAAATATTTAAATAAATTGTATAACTCAGGATATTTTCAAATTTTGTATAAAATTTCTATTACTTAATAAAACTGAAAAAGAAATTCCTGATATTTAAAACGTGTATAGCAAGCTAGACATTAAAACTTCATCCTAAAATTCTGAGTGTATTAACAGAAAACGAGGAGAATTAAATGGGGGTAAATGTAACAGCAATGATGTACTATGTATGACAGTCAGGAAATGTACTTATTACACTTAGTATTAAAACGTACTGTATGACAGTCAGGAAATGTACTTATTACATTTAGTATTAAAACGTACTGTCAATTCGGAGGATGGGTTGCAGCTGTAGTTGTCTGGACAAACGCACGAATAAGTACTTCATTTTAGGAAGCCACCACAACCGTTTGCTGACCAACGAACACGGACACTGTAGTCCTGAACATTAAACTTGTCCTGCTAATAGAACCTCGTATTTTGAGGTATTCTCTACCTAAGGCCAAAAGTTGTATTAGAAAATGGAAGCGGCTCTCGAAATTGACGAACTGTCCGGTTTCCTGTTATGGGTCCTCGGGTATGTTAGGATAAGGGCACTTTAGTACGACAGTTTCTTGATGTTGGGGAACCTTCCCTCACGGGCTGTAATATTATCCATAGCTAACCTCTCAGTGTACATATACACAGAATAGTTAAGTCTGCCTCTAAGTGTACATATACACAGAATAGTTAAGTCTGCCTCTCAGTGTACATATACACAGAATAGTTAAGTCCGCCTCTCAGTGTACATATACACAGAATAGTTAAGTCTGCCTCTCAGTGTACATATACACAGAATAGTTAAGTCTGCCTCTAAGTGTACATATACACAGAATAGTTAAGTCCGCCTCTCAGTGTACATAAACACAGAATAGTTAAGTCCGCCTCTCAGTGTACATATACACAGAATAGTTAAGTCCGCCTCTCAGTGTACATAAACACAGAATAGTTAAGTCCGCCTCTCAGTGTACATAAACACAGAATAGTTAAGTCCGCCTCTCAGTGTACATATACACAGAATAGTTAAGTCTGCCTCTAAGTGTAAATATCTGTGTCTTGTATTCTGCCACTGCTGGAGGAGTAATACATGACTGCACACTTCAGGGTGGACTCGTGTGAGAGCGACGTGGACATCGTGACCCCGTACTGGGCCAGCAACTCCGCCGGCAAGGTCAGAGCCATCGTCAACACCAATGAGTTCTCCCAGGCCATACACCAGGAGATATGCGCGTGAGTATACCCCCCCCCCCATATCAATGGTTACATAGTTTGTGATACTAAAGTCCCCCATATAATAATAAATATAATAATAATAATAATTTATTTTCAAGAAGGTACAATGGGATGGTAAGATTACATAAAATTGAAATTTTTACATTCATGCAAAGCCACAGATAAAAATTTAACATATAATTTTAAGTAGGTAATTTCTAGCAAAATTTAACATTTTTAACAGGTACATTGTAAGAAAATTTGACAAAGATTAGTGGGTAGATTAAAGTAAAATTTGAGGATTATTAACAGGTACATTGTTGCATAAATTCAAGATTATTTCAAGGAATGAAATACCCTTCCTAATAGGATGGTTAGTAATACCACCCTATTGTGATCAGTAGCGTGCAATGGCAAACTTTGGCTGCAATATAAGGGTATAATAATCACGAGTGGATAAAGTCATTGCAAAGCTCCAGGTACCTCAGACTGGCAGGTCTGAAGTATCTAATGACTGGACACTCAATAATGTGATCACGACCCATATAGTGCTCGCAGAGTTTGCACCTGGAGTGCTCAGGATTGGCAGGTCCGTCACCTGAAGCCACCTGCCACAGGTAACGGTAACCCAACCTGATCCTGGCAACCACTGTGTCGCACGGTGAAGGCTGACTCCATACACAGTTTCAAATGTTGATATGATAGAGCCCAGTAGGCTCAGGAATCTGTACACCAGTTGGTTGACGGTTGAGAGGCGGGACCAAAGAGCCAGACCCCCGCAAGCACAGCTAGGTGAGTATAGAGAGGCCAGCCAGCCAACATGGTCTACACAAGCACGTTGTGTGTGTCTATGTGGTGTGTATGTATGTATGTGGTGTGTGTGTGTATGTGGTGTGTGTGTGTATGTGGTGTGTATGTATGTATGTGGTGTGTGTGTGTATGTGGTGTGTGTGTGTATGTGGTGTGTGTGTGTATGTGGTGTGAGCGTTACTCTTGCCTATAGGATGTCCCGTGACACCCATATCTTCTTCAGATAACACTCACCCGTTTCTCTTTCTCTCTCTCTCCTTCTCCCTTCTCTCACTCTCTCGCTGTCAAGCTCAACTTTCTTTAAAAAAATAATTTAGATTTCCTGTTTGTCACAGTAGCAAATCATAATCAGCAATCATATTCATATTTCAGATAATTACCTAAAGTATCCCATCTTTATTATCGCACCGTCAAAATGTGTTTGAGAAAAGATTTATCAGACGGAGGCCGGCGTCGCGGTCCGTTACAAGTGTCCGGCGGGAATTTTGAAAACATTTCAAATTCGAGCAGTGGCGGTATAACGGCCGCGCCACTCTTGGCATCTGCCAGGATGGCGACACCGTCACCTGAGGGCACAGGATGCCCTCGGCTCATTATCGCCACCTGACTATCTACGGGAGTACCCTCACCTGTGTGTGTCTGTACTCGCCTAGTTGAGCTTGTGGGGGTTGAGCTTCGGCTCTTTGGACTCGTCTCTCAAGTGTCAATCTACTGGTAGAGGTTCCTTAGCTTATTGAGCTCTGGCATATCTACAGTTGAAACTGTGTATGGAATCAGCCTTCACCTGTGTGCGTGTATGTGTATACTCACTAAGTTGTCACCTAGTTGTGCTTGCGGAGGTTGAGCTTTGATCTTTGGTCCCGCCTCTCAACTGTCACTCAACTGGTGTACAGATTCCTGAGCCTACTGGACTGTATTATATCTACATTTGAAAATGTGTATGGAGTCAGCCTCCACCACATCACTGCCTAATGCATTCCATCTGTTAACTACTCTGACACTGAATAAGTTCTTTCTAACGTCCCTGTGGCTCATTTGGGGTACTCTGTTTCCACAAGCTTTTCGTATTCCACCCGTGTTAAAAAGTTTATCCTTATCTACCCTGTCAATTCCCCTGAGAATTTTGTAGGTAGTGATCATGTCTCCCCTCACTTTTAAGTCTTCCAGTGTTGTGAGGTGCATTTCACACAGACTTTCCTCGTAACTCATGCCTATTAGTTCCTGTGTGTATGTGTCCAGTGGCATACCTCTGAACTATTTCCAGCTTCGCCTTGTGCTTGACAAGGTACGGGCTCCATGCTGGGGCCGCATACTCCAGGATTGGTCTTACATATGTGGTGTACAAGGTTCTGAATGATACCTTACACAGGTTCCTGAAGGCAATTCTGATGTTAGCCAACCTCGCATACGCCGCTGATGTTATTTTTTGTATGTGGGCTTCAGGAGACAGGTTTGGTGTGATATCAACTCCTAGATCTTTCTCTCTGTCCATTTCATGGACTTCATCTCCCATTCTGTATCCTGTGTCCTGGCCTTCAGTATCCTGTGTGTATGTGTGCGTGTGTGTGCGTGTGTGTGTGTGTGTGTGTGTGTGTGTGTGTGTGTGTGTGTGTGTGTGTGTGTGTGTGTGTGTGTGTGTGTACTCACCTAGTTGTATTCACCTAGTTGTGCTAGGTGAGGTTGAGCTCTGCGCTTTCGGCCCGCCTCTCAACTTGTCAATCAATCAACTGTTACTAACTACTAACTATTCCCCCCCCCCCCCCCACACACACACCTGTTGTACACCTGTTGATTGACGGTTGAGAGGCGGGACCAAAGAGCCAGAGCTCAACCCCCGCAAGCACAACTAGGTGAGTACAACTAGGTGAGTTGTACCTACCTAACAGGAAGGAGCCAGAGGGTAATGGTAAGGGGCGAAAAGTCGGACTGGCGAACAGTAACAAGTGGAGTACCTCAAGGATCGGTGCTGGGACCAATCCTCTTTCTAATTTACGTAAATGATATGTTTACAGGAGTGGAATCATACATGTCAATGTTTGCGGATGACGCAAAATTAATGAGAAGAGTTGTGACAGACGAGGATTGTAGGATCCTCCAAGAGGACTTAAACAGGCTGCAGAGATGGTCAGGGAAATGGCTACTGGAGTTTAACACCAGTAAATGTAAAGTTATGGAAATGGGATCAGGTGACAGGAGACCAAAGGGACAGTACACAATGAAGGGGAACAGCCTACCTGTAACGATTCGAGAAAGAGACCTGGGAGTGGATGTGACACCTAATCTAACTCCTGAGGCACATATAAATAGGATAACGACAGCAGCGTACTCTACACTGGCGAAAATTAGAACTTCATTCAGAAACCTAAATGAGGAAGCTTTTAGGGCGCTTTACACTGCCTACGTGAGACCCGTCTTAGAGTATGCCGCGCCATCATGGAGCCCCCACCTGAAGAAACACATAAAGAAACTGGAGAAGGTTCAGAGGTTTGCGACGAGGCTTGTCCCAGAGCTACGAGGGATGGGATATGAAGAGCGGCTGAAGGAACTGAACCTTACGACACTAGAGAAAAGAAGGGAGAGAGGAGATATGATAGGGACATATAAAATACTCAGGGGAATTGACAAAGTGGAAATAGATGAAATGTTCACACGTAATAATAACAGAACGAGGGGACATGGGTGGAAACTGGAAACTCAGATGAGTCACAGAGATGTTAGGAAGTTTTCTTTTAGCGTGAGAGTAGTAGAAAAATGGAATGCACTTGGGGAACAGGTTGTGGAAGCAAATACTATTCATACTTTTAAAACTAGGTATGATAGGGAAATGGGACAGGAGTCATTGCTGTAAACCGATAGCTAGAAAGGCGGGATCCAAGAGTCAATGCTCGATCCTGCAAGCACATATAGGTGAGTACATATAGGTGAGTACACACACACACACACACACACACACACACACACACACACACACACACACACACACACACACACAGAGGAAGCAGCCCGTAACAGCTGTCTAACTCCCAGGTCCCTATTTACTGCTAGGTAACAGGGGGCATCAGGGTGAAAAAAAAAACTTTGCCCATTTTTGTTTCCCGCCGGCGCCGGAAATCGAACCCTGGTTCACAGAACTTCGTATCCAGCATACAGTCTACTCAGCCACCGGCGCCCCTGCTGTGTGTGTATGGGGTACTCACCTATTTGTACTCACATATTTGTGCCTGCAGGATCGAGCATTGACTCTTGGATCCCGCATTTTTAGCCATGAGTTGTTTCAGCAATGACTCCTGTCCCATTTCCCTATCATATCTAGTTTTAAAATTATGAATTGAGTTTGCTGCCACAACCTGTTCCTTAGGTGCATTCCATTTTCCCACTATTCTCACGCTAAAAGAATACTTCCTAACATCTCTGTGACTCATCTGAGTTTCCAGCTTCCCTTCATGCCCCCTCGTTCTGTTACTATTACGTGTGAACATTAATATTAATGAACTATTTCCACTCTGTCAATTCTCCTGAGTATTTTATACGTTCCTATCATATCCCCCCTCTCCCTTCTTTTTTCTAGTGTTGCAAGGTTCAGTTCCTTCAGGCGCTCTTCATACCCCATCCTTCATAACTCTGGGACGAGCCTCGTCGCAAACTTCTGAACCTTTTCCAGTTTCCTTATGTGTTTCTTCAGGTGGAGACTCCATGATGGGGCTACATACTCTAAGACTGGTCTCACGTAGGCAGTGTATAGCGCCCTAAAAGCCTACTCACTTAGGTTTCTGAAGGATGTTCTAACTTTTGCCAGTGTAGAGTACGCTGCTGTCGATAGCCTATTTATATGTGCCTCAGGAGTTAGATTAGGTGTTACGTCCACTCCCAGGTCTCTTTCTCGAATCGTCACAGGTAGGCTGTTCCCCTTCACTGTGTACTGTCCCTTTGGTCTCCTCTCACCTGATCCTATTTTCATAACTTTACATTTGCTCGTGTTGAACTCCAGTAGCCATTTCTCTGACCATCTCTGCAACCTGTTCAAGCCCTCTTGGAGGATCCTACAGTCCTCACCTGTCACTACTCTTCTCATTAATTTTGTGTCATCCGCGAACATCGATATGTATGGTTCTACTCCTGTAAACATGTCATTACGTATATTAGAAATAGAATTGGTCCCAGCACCGATCCTTGAGGTATTCCACTCGTTACTGTTCGCCAGTCCGACTTCTCGCCCCTTACCGTAACTCTCTGGCTCCTTCCTGTTAGGTAGTTCCTTATCCATGCTAGGACCTTTCCACTTACCCACCTCTCAAGTTTGGACCCGGACCTTGTCCAGGTCCTAACGGTACACTGGGTTATGTGGAGGTACTTCTACTCTCTGTTCATTGTTATGTTATAGTTACAGTAGTCGCATTCCCATCACCATTTACTGTCTCAACGACCTCCTCGACCCCGACCCACGACCTCGTTCGTGGCAGTCTGCCTGGAACACTCTGCCGTCCGTCGATGGTCTGGTTAGTTTCGTCAATGTTTTGTCGTCCGAAACGATTGACATGCTGGCTCCTGCTTTCTTAGTTAAGGCGTTGATGTTTCTGCAACAATATAGATCTTAACACTGATCTCTTTGACATTCCGCTTCTTGCCTCATTCTATTCGGATCTCTTCCGCTTTACTGGTAGTCTCTGTTTTGCGTCGGGTAGGTATTCTCTCACTCTGTTCATCTCACTTCCGGTTACTCCCGTTGATTTCTCAAATGTGTTCTTTAAGAGCACTTATATACAAGGTCAAAAGGTTTCTGGCAGCCAGAAATATTGAGGCAATCAATCCTTCTAGTTTCCTATATGAAACTAGAAACTAAATGCTAGCCACCTCTAGAGTCAAGACTTCCCTTCTGTGAACTCATGATAACATTCTTCTATAAAATGTGTCCATTTAGGTGTTCAAACAGCCTCCTCCTGATTACTTGAGGGCCTGACAGGGTGTACATGTCCTCGCTACAGACCTGATGTATAATGTAGGTGTTGGAGAAGACGTCTTTAATCACTTCTCTCCCCCTCTCTTGCTAACTCTTCCCCGTGTGGCTCCCACAGGAAGACGTCTACCAAGCGGTGTGGTGGAGACTGTGGCTGCGAGCAGAAGTACAAGTGGCATCGCCTGCTGGCCTACGACCCGGAGAATGACTGTAACGGCATCTTCATGGACTGGTTCCTCTTCCCGTCCTGCTGTTCGTGTCGCTGCAACCCTCTCTAGGCCGGCCCTGGCGCTCTCTCAGCTTCCCACAACTCAAGGGCCACCTGACTTCCTCCCCAGCAGGCCAGGCCCTTCTGCTGCCCCTGATCCTGCCGGCAGAACACTCTCTGGCTGCTCTACTGCCTTAGCCCACTCTAGGGGAGCCCTCATACTACAGTGCCTCCGGTTCTCTCTTTCTGTCGGCCGTCTTCACCTGTGTTCCAGTCATGTGTCATCGTGTCTGGCTCACCTACGTGCCTCTCTTCCTTCCTCTTCCTTCCTTCCTCCTCCTCCTCCCCTCTGCTGCAGGTGGCCAGGATTAAGCAACATTCACAGAACAACGCTGCCATCAGCGGGCATCATCACATCTCCGGCTCCTGCTCCCCCTAACATTATCAAGCAAACTAGCAGCGATACGTGTGTGTGCTTCCCTGTTTAAGACACCTTCCTGCTGCTTGACTATATACACGAGACCCAGCTGGCCAGACCACAGTAATCACTCTCATCCTTTACCAAATTTTCAGGGTCTTAGATTTTCGTCAATTAAATATTTTCAGGAATAGCAAGCATGTAACCTTACTTGTCCTGCCACTGATGATATCATGGAGGGCGAGGAGTGTTGATATCATTAACTTGTGTCAGTTGTGATATGTGGCAACATTAGTTGTCAACACTACCTGGAACTCTTAGGTGACTAAGTAATATGTGTTGTTATAACCTTGTTTTGTATGTCATTAAACTATTAAATTATAAACGTAACCATACTTAATGGTTCCTGCTGACTGATGCAGTGCTCTAGTGTTGCAAACAGTGTTGCAGTGCTGCAGTTTAAAGACAGACGTGGCACTGAGGAACTGGTTGCCGGGTGTGGCAACACTTGGCAACCACGGCTACAGTGGTGCCAGATGTAAACAACCACATAAACAGTCCACAAACTATCAATAGTTATCAGTCCTCTTGGTGTAGTATTTAGATGTATAATAATAAGCACAATGGTGTACATGTTGGAGTAGTAAGGTTCCATACACAATGAAGCAGACGAGGAGTGTACAAGAGAAGGGTTTTAACTTGGCGACGTTCGGGGACCATCTGGTCACCATTTGGTCCGGAGACATCTCCCGTCACGCAGGGTGCAGTCGCACCTCCACAGATCTCCAGTATCAGCTTTTGATACTGGTAATGGCTCAAAAGGGCCACCACTTACGGGCTATTCATGCCCGTGCCACCTCTTGGGTGGCTTAATCTTCATCAATCGGCGACGTTCGGATCCGCCATCGTCACGGCCAGCCATTGGGTAAAGAAGTTGTTGATATTTATTCATCTCTTAAAACGATGAAGGTACTGCTTGTTGTCTGTAGTACCTGGTCCTCAGGTACCTGGTCCTCGGGTACCTGGTCCTCTGGTACCTGGTCCTCTGGTACCTGGTCCTCTGGTACCTGGTCCTCGGGTACCTGGTCCTCGGGTACCTGGTCCTCTGGTACCTGGTCCTCTGGTACCTGGTCCTCGGGTACCTGGTCCTCGGGTACCTGGTCATCGGGTACCTGGTCCTCGGGTACCTGGTCCTCAGGTACCTGGTCCTCGGGTACCTGGTCCTCTGGTACCTGGTCCTCTGGTACCTGGTCCTCGGGTACCTGGTCCTCGGGTACCTGGTCCTCTGGTACCTGGTCCTCTGGTACCTGGTCCTCTGGTACCTGGTCCTCGGGTACCTGGTCCTCGGGTACCTGGTCCTCGGGTACCTGGTCCTCGGGTACCTGGTCCTCGGGTACCTGGTCATCGGGTACCTGGTCCTCGGGTACCTGGTCATCGGGTACCTGGTCCTCGGGTACCTGGTCCTCGGGTACCTGGTCCTCTGGTACCTGGTCCTCGGGTACCTGGTCCTCTGGTACCTGGTCCTCTGGTACCTGGTCCTCTGGTACCTAGTCCTCGGGTACCTGGTCCTCGGGCACCTGGTCCTCGGGCACCTGGTCCTCTGGTACCTGGTCCTTGGGTACCTGGTCCTCAGGTACCTGGTCCTCAGGTACCTGGTCCTCAGGTACCTGGTCCTCTGGTACCTGGTCCTCTGGTACCTGGTCCTCTGGTACCTGGTCCTCGGGTACCTGGTCCTCGGGTACCTGGACCTCAGGTACCTGGTCCTCGGGTACCTGGTCCTCGGGTACCTGGTCCTCGGGTACCTGGTCCTCGGGTACCTGGTCCTCATGTACCTGGACCTCAGGTACCTGGTTCACAGGTACCCGGCCTACATGTAGGCCTACAGGTCCCTGAACACCTGAGTTAGTAATGTGAAAGAGTAAGGCCTCATATGATCCATGTTAACTGATATTTACGATCCAAAATCCCCAACATTAAGAAAATAAGTTATGTAGTGTTACTGTGTAAATTACTTTAGGACTATATGTGTACATTGTAAAGACAAATAACCACATTTTTACCAATAAGATTATATGTATATAACTTATAAACATTTGTAATTTCAGTGAGAGATAATTATCTACTTTTGTCAACAATAAAGGGCATTGAATTTGTCTCATGGGAGTATTTTTTCAGGCTTTGATCCCAATTTTCACATGTGTGTGGTGCAAATATATCATTTGTCTGTTTCTGTGCTTGTCTATCTTCTTTGTTCTGGTCGACCCAGTGTCTCCGAAGCCTATTTCTGTCCATGTCTCTGTCTGTCTGTCTCTCCCTGTCTTTCCACCGTCTCTCATATGAATAAAAATAGCTTTCCATTGGCATGTGGGTGGTCACCCGACGGGAGAATTCTAGGGGAGTAAAGATATTTAAAAATATATACAATAGTTTCCCACTGGATTTGAGAAAGGGGCGAGGCTTAAGGTAGTCTTAGCAGCTGTGGAAGGATCGTCTTGTTTATGCTGCTACGGGACCAATTACTGTGTGATGATTAGGATTTTAATTTCCATGAGATTAGTGCATAATTTCTTATATTACTATCAAAAAATTATTTTTATTTTTTAAATATTTAGTCAGGCATAGCTGACAGGCAGTGTCAAAATTAGTCGTGGCGGTATGGCACATTGTTCCCTCTTTGAATTTTGTCGACCCCATTCAGCCTATGTCTTTCTCATACTCCAGACCATTCACCGTGCAAAGTTGGGTGAGGCTAGACCCAAGCATCTGACCTCCAACCTTGGACAGACATAGTATGGATATAAGAGAATGTTTCTGGCCAAATTTGGAGACCAGAGACTTATGGCTAGTCTCGCCCAACTATTCAGGGTGAATGGTCTGGGGGTACGTGGCGGACGGAGGCTGGTCGGGGTAAGCCTAAGTTAAATACCTTAAGAAATATAAGTCATAATACCATGGCGTCAAGGGTGGGAATCAAGTGAGAAATGTGAATTTTGGTATTTTAAACACTGACGACCCGGCCTCTGGGCGGGTACGACCCGGCCTCTGGGCGGGTACGACCCGGCCTCTGAGCGGGTACCACTCAACGGTGCTTAAAATGTTTACAATCATTTTGTATTTTATCAGTTATTTTTGGGTTATAACTATAAATTTGGTGTGAAAATGTTTGCAAATGAATTCTCTAAAGAATAGATGCAATATAGATAAATAGATAATAACAGATAGGCACACAGAAATAGAGAGAGAAGACAGACCCAAACAACACCAGGTACCCTTCGCCCCCCATTAGCATATACACAAAACTAGATGAAAATTTGATGCATATATTGCCATCAAAAACATAATATTTAAGTACATGGCACTTACATATTGTTGAAGAAAAGGACCTTGGAGACAAAATCCATTACTTATTGAAAGTTACACAGCAGGTAGGGGCGACATTCACAAACTTAACCAAACACTAGGACAAATCAAGCGTACCTTCGACTTTAAGGAAAAGAAGGTAGTGGGTCAATTGTATAAATCTCTGGTGCCAACATTTGGATTACTGTATGCAAAATGGAGACCTCATTCTTCAGAAGGACAAAGCTGCTCTGGAGAAAGTGCAACACCGGACAACAGAAATAATTCCGGAGCTCCACGGGAGACATCTCCCGTCACGCAGGGTGCAGTCGCACCTCCACAGATCCCCAGTATCATCTATTGATACTGGAAATGGCTCAAAAGGGCCACCACTTATGGGCTATTCATACCCGTGCCACCTTTTGGGTGGCTTAATCTTCTCTCTCTCCGGAGCTCACTCAAGGGCCACCACTTACGGGCTATTCATACCCGTGCCACCTTTTGGGTGGCTTAATCTTCTCTCTCTACGGAGCTCACTCAACTCACGTATCAGGAAGGGTTGAGGGCCACAAGGGGCTAACAACACTGCAAGCCAGGCATGACAGGGCGAATCTTATTGAAACTTTTTAAAATACTGAACAATTTGGAGGTTGATGATCCGGAAAATTTCTTAAAAGGTCAGATGTAAGACAAGCAAGGAGCAACGGTTTCAAGTTCAGATAGCCACAATGTCGGACTGAGAACACTATATGCTTTTTCACCCACAGCGTTATAAACCCATGGAACCGCCTACGCGCCGAAGCTGTAAATGCCAAAACTCTCTTAACGTTTTAAAGTACAGCTGGAAAAGATCATCAAAGCAAATGGGGGGGACCTCCGACAAGCCGCCGGCGTCTTGTCCTCGTCGAGGCCACTATTGTTAGTGACTCTCAGGTAAATTCAGGTAAAATTACATAAACAACACGAATTTAAGGAAAGTTCTTTTGGCTTTTTTTATTTCTTTCTCGAAATGTTTTTTTTTTATTCCTGTTAAATAGTTGAGTCTCCCCTCTATTGTCTTCACGGCGTCCCCTTGCGATAACACGTTCAGTTTTGTCACCCATCCTATCAGTCTCTAGGATTGAATGGCTCTTTAACACACCACTTCAGATCCTCTCTCTTAAATTGCAACTAAATTTCGACCAGCAAGTCCATTGCGTCGATATTCAACCATGTTTCAGCGAGTGCAATTATGTCTAACTTTTTCAGTGCACTCCAGTGCTCTGGGGTCATCTATCTTCTTATATACACCTCTGCATTTAGTACAGTACACTTGTAAACACCTTTTATATGTTGTCTTGATATTTAGAACATTCTTTTCGTTGTTTTTGCAGGAAATACATTGTTGTTTAATATGACCTATACTTTCCCCTTTCTACTCTCCATTACCCATATTAGGTCTCACACACTACTTAATGAGTCAATAAAGCTGCCACTCCTCCCTAATTGAGGAATGGATCCCATTCCTCGGATACACGACGTTTTGTTGACCAGACCACACACTAGAAGTTGAAGGGACGACGACGTTTCGGTCCGTCCTGGACCGAAACGATTCATACTTCAGCCACGTTATTGTGACTCATCGTCTGCACGACGTTTTGTCAAAATAAGATCTTTAGTTATTCACAATTGTATTAATATTCATATAATCGTTTTGAAGACTCTGGCGTGCACCAGTCCCTTTCCACACCCACTTACTGACGCCTCTCATCCCTCACACATCACCGCACATGACTGGGACCCCTTCCTTGTTCCTGATCGATTGATGATTGATGAAGATTAAGCCATCCAAGAGGTGGCACGGGCATGAATAGCCCGTAAGTGTTCCTAATCACGTTTTGTTTTAGATTCAGCTACTGGAACAAAATTTCCATGCAGCACGGGCTATGGTGAGCCCGTAGTGGACTTACCTGGCACAAGAGCGGGGTTATAACTTTCTGATCCCATCCACCGCTACTTTATATTTGTCACATAACTCCTACTTACCTCGGCAAAAATCGTAACTACCTACTGAGAAGCAGACAACTATGGGCCTGATCCAAGTGTCTGACAGTATATTGCTCAATCCTTCCACTATGTCTCCTATCCTTGCCCCCGGAAACATACCATAACTATTTCCTGCTTCCCTTGTACACAAGGCTCTATCCATAAAGCACCTGGGACTCCCCACCTACCAGTATCCTCCTACCCTCTCTCTTGTGACGTCAGGCTTCCTACCAAAATTCCCGCTCAAGTTCCCTCCTGCTGAACGGAAAAGAAATCGACTTTCCAAATACCGTCTCAAAACTACGCTCTAAAATAAGGAGTTGAGGAGAGCAGCTTGTACGACGATGTTAGTGAATAGGACACACACATGATGAATTACAGCGACCCGGAGCTAGAAGCCTTGAGTCACTCAACCATCAGATATCGGAGCCAAAGAGAAATGAAAATATTCTAGATCTGGTCTTTACGAACAATGAAGACATTATCAGAGACATTACGATATCAGATACCACATACTCAGATCACAGGCTCATTGAAGTGCAAACGACCATCAATACTCAGAATAGACCTAAAACGCTGATCAAGCGAGAAGGGCTATTCAGTAAATTCAATTTTAATAATAAAAGGAAAGACTGGGAGAAAATAAACAGGGAACTTACAAACATTCCATGGGAAACTGTTCTAAGTAATACAAGTCCTACAGAAGGAATAGAAAAACTGACATCGGAAGCGTATCAAGTCTGTCTGAAACATGTTCCTTTGAGGAAAGCCAGAAAGAGATCCAACGTAGAAAGAGAATGCAGACGACACTATAAAAGAAGGAAAAATTTAACGGAAATGTGAAAGCAGACACGAATTTCCCGTCAAAGAAGGAATAATTTAAATAGAGAGATTGAAGAAATCGAGCGGAAATTGAAACACTCATATCAAACTGAAGAAAGACAGTTAAAACAGAAAGCAATTCAGGAAATAAAGAAAAATCCAAAATACTTGTTCACATATGCCAAATCAAAAGCAAAAACCACTGTCAGTATTGGACCTATTCGTACAAGTGAAGGTTCATGCACGGAGGATGACAAAGAAATTAGTGAAATCCTAAAAAAGCAGTATGAGGACATGTTTAGCACTCCAATAAACAACATGAAGGTGGAAGATCCAGACAATTTCTTTATGCGGGATATTCAAACCCCGGTAAATATAACTGATATCAACACGAGCGCACTAAATTTTGAAAGAGAAATTGAAAACATGCCCATGCACTCAGCCCCAGGTCCAGACTCATGGAATTCAATATTTATAAAGAAATGCAAAGTGCCGGTAGCACAGGCACTCAGTATAATGTGGAGGAAGAGCTTGGACACGGGGGAGATACCAGATGCACTTAAAGTAGCAGACATAGCCCCTCTACACAAGGGAGGGAGCAAAGCATTGGCAAAGAATTATAGACCAGTTGCACTAACATCGCACATCATAAAAGTATTTGAGAGAGTGATTAGGAGTCAGGTCACCAATTTCATGGAGACCAATGACCTTCACAACCCAGGCCAACATGGATTTCGAGCGGTAAGATCGTGCCTCTCACAACTACTTGAGCACTACGACAAAGTCACTGAGGCATTAGAAGAGAAACAGAATGCTGATGTGATATACACGGACTTCGCAAAGGCTTTCGATAAATGTGACCATGGCGTGATAGCACACAAAATGAAGTCAATGGGAATAACCGGTAAAGTAGGACGCTGGATACTCAGTTTTCTGTCAAACAGGACTCAGCGAGTAACGGTCAACCA